TATATATATGTACATAAATGCAAAGAAGAACAAGAAACAACAGTAACAACCCCCTCCCCTTCTCCGTAACCAAATACCCTCATTCCTGGAAGAAGCGTACACATACTGGATCGATTTGTCCGCTTATAGGGAACGAAGCAGTGTTTAATTCAGGAGGATTGAAGAGTTTATCGATCCACGGGCAGAAATAATATTTTACGACCGTTTCTATAATTGGGAAGTGATGGCTGGCTCATATCTGGTCAAAAACACCAAGTGGACGAGAGATTTTCTAAGAGGTGAACTCGTTCTTCTTCGCCCTACCGTTACCCTTCACAGCTGCGCAGTGCTGGAGTGTAATGTTCAGGAAAATTACACACCTTGTCGGCGTGCTTTGCCTTTAAAGGAATACAATATTTCTATTTCTTCTAGTTTTCTTGCTGTGCCTGAGTTGCACTCGACGCAATCGTAGAGCTCGCATTTGCCTTTATCCAATTATACCCAACCAAGTTTACCATCCACCCATAAACCTCCTCACTGGTATACTTGAAAAAAGGAACTGCTTTTCCAGGTTTCGCTGACTATGAATTTCGGTTACCGGAAAGTTTCCATGGAACTGATAATGGAGCAATTCACGTAAGTAAATCAATTGCTAGAACAAGAACTTTGCTTGTACTCGTTTTCATTTTTCTAATGATGTAAAATTTTTTAATCTAAACTTTCTTCTTGAGTTGTTATGAATGGGCGTTTCGCAGAACCATCTTCCCTCATAGGTACAATGGTAAACTAGCCAGGCTATCCCGATATAGACAAGTCGCTTATCCCTTGGAGGTGACTCCAAACCGCCTCTTAATTAAGTAAAATCGGCTCAACACTGCAGGCCCAAGGTGTCCTCTCCCTGGATCTACCTGCATACCTCGGACTTGTGACTACAGTGCGTCGCAAAATGATACAGCACCTCTAATTTTCCCAAAAACTCACAGTATATGATGTTTCTGAAAAATTGCCAAAGTAAAAAATGTGTCAAACTTGAATTGGAATTCGCACATTATCACCAAATTCCAGCTCGAAAACACAAACATTTTTCTTGATAAATTT